TTCACCTTCTCCCGCAGGAGCTCCGCCTCGTTCTTCTTGCGCTGCAGCTCGTTCTCGCAGACCTCCAGCTCCAGGCCCTTGGTGCGCAGGGCGCCCTCCAGGTCCTGCGTCCTCAGCTCCAGGCCCTCCAGCTTGCCCCGCGTGTCCTTCAGCTGCGCCTTCAGGTTGAGGATCTCACTGGCCTTGGCGTTGATCTCCGTCTGGGACTCTTTCAGCTGCTGCTTCAGGAGCGAGATCTCGCCGGACTTCTGGCACACCTGCCGCGGGGCGGAGCGAGGCGGGGAGAGAGAGGGCCGAGAGGTGAGAGGTGAGAGTCAGCATCGGGGGAAGCCGCATCCGGCCGCCTAAAAGAATGGTGCCCAAGAAAGCCCAGCCCCTCTGGGAGGCTCTTTCCCATCTGCCTGGGTCTGTCCACACGCCAGCCTCGCCCCCGACTCACAGTCTGAATCGCAAGCGGTTCCCAAACCTTTGGCTCTGCGTAAATCAGGGATCTGGGGTTTACGTTGCCCGCGGCTGGTAGCGCCACCATCCACATTAACATAGTGATACTGATTTCGGTGTCTGCCAGATTCCCATCATCCGTGTTCATGCCGGCACCCTCCGGCCTCACCCCTGCACACAGCCCACCGTCTGCTCCTCCCTCCTGGGGCTAAAGACTACACTGACCCAATCACGGCCACACCCTGCGAGCAGCCTGGCTCAGAGACAGCGCCCCGTTGGAATCTGCCAGATGATGAGCTAACAGGTTCTCCTCCTGCCCCGCTCCTCCACCATTTCTCTTACTCCCCATCCAAAGTCGGCCAAGAGCAGCCAATAAAGCCAAAGGCACGGACTCAGATCCATGTGTCTCTGGGGTCTTGGCCATTTGGGGTCACGTGGCTCAGCTGAAGTCTGAGGCCGGTCTGGCTGGCTGTGTCACTGGAGTGTTTCCTGCTGGCCGTGGGAGAGCTGGCCTGAATGCAGGCCAGGCCCTGGGCCCCCAACAGCCTGGATTCTCAGAAGAAGACCAGAGGCTACCGTGACATTCCTCACTTCTCCTCTCGGGGTAGAAACCACCCCTTGCTCTCATGAACGACCCAGGAAGCACGTATAGCCCCGCCCAGGACGCTTGGTGGGGACGGAGGCTGCCTCCCCAAGGCCAAGCCACTATTTGTTCATGGAGAGGGTGGCAGAGCCGCGGGTGCAGCCTGGGCCTGGCTGTGAATCCTGACTGGACCTAAATGGATCCCAGATCCATCAGCTTGGTAGCAACACAACGTAGTGATTAAAACTGTGGATCCTGGGCCTGACTCTTGGGATCCCAGCGGGCTCTGATACCTGTTATGCGGTGACCTTGGCAAGACATCAGACGAGCCGTTTGCTTTTAAAACTGCTCTCTGTGCCTCCGTGTCCTCAACTGAAAATTGAGGATTAGGAATTGCACCGACTTTATAGGGCTGTGGGAAGGGTTAGGTGAAAGAACCTAGGGCCTGGCCTCAGTAAACACTCTATGGGTTGTTATTATTATGATAAATGTTTGGAATATATTTCTGTGTTACTGTGAATATTTCTTTTTTTTGTTTTGTTTTAGTATATAGCCTGACAGGACAGCCTGGGAACGAGGTCGCAGCAAGGTCCAGCTTAGCTCCGAGTCGGACAACAAGGATGGGTATGAATGCCGGCCCTGGCGGACGTCTGAGACGCCCTGAGGGTCCCCCGGCCCTGGCTGAGGACTGGCTGGGGAAGGGTCTGCTGAGCCTTCATCGGTGGGGAAGAGGAAGGCGCTGGGCCCACGGCTGAGGAAGGCCCTCTCCTCTTCGGGAAACGCGGCAACAGGAAGTGACTCTCCCTTCCCGCCTGCCTGCTGCCCTCGTCCATCCCTTCCACAAAACGATCCTTTTCCTCTACCCCGGATAACCCCTGTCACTCAGATTTCCAGGACAAGTACCGGTAGCTCCAGTGTGAACGCCCCACCTGGGTGCTGGTCTGACCACAGTGAGCCCGCAGCCCCTTCCCAGGGCAGGAGTCTTTGAGGTGAATGCCATGCGCGCACCCCTGCTGGTCCCCCACCGCCTCCCTCCAGAGGCCTCTCGGGTGAGGGAAGCGAGCAGGACGTGGGGGTTAGGCTGCTTCGCTGCCAGGCCAGGCCGGGCCCAGACGCCCCGCTTCCCGGTGTGTCTGAGCGTGTGTGTGCGTGCAGACGTGAGCCCTTTTCTTCTTGTTCTCTGTGTCCATCTCAGCCCACCAAGTAGAAGCCCCGCTTGCACTTCTGTGAGGAGTGGCCAGTTCCATCCCTGAGGCCTGGTGGAGCCCCTTCCCTCCAAAGTCAGGGATGAACCCCACACTCTCCCGTGGGCTCTGGGAGCAGCGTGAACTCGGGGTGTCCTGTGCTCCCGCTGAGCCTCCGTGAGCAGAGGCAGTGAGGCAGCCACCCGAGAGCCCGGCCGGGACCCAGTTCTCCTATTCCAGCTTCTCGGACAATGACTCCGACAGTAAATTCAACTCTGGCCACGAGGCGCCGCGGTGGGGGGAGGAGGACGCCCAGACTAAGTGCACCCCCAGCGCGGTGACCCCGGGAGCCCCTCCTTGGGGTCACGAAGCCGGCACTTCAGCCCAGTTTGCCCGGGCATCTGCCCGGAACCCAGAGGAGGACCTGGAGAAGGGGCTGGGGATGCTGGGGGACCGAGCCGCCGCCCGCCCGCCCGCCGGCCTCACCTCCCACTGCGTCTCCTCCAGCGCGGGGGCGAAGCTGGTCTTCTCCCTCTCGTAGGACCTGAGCTTGGTCTCCAGCAGGTCCTGCTCCTTCATGAGGCTCTCGAGCTCCTGGCGCAGCTGCCGCTTCTCCTGCTGGAGCTGGAGCACCTGCAGGTGCAGCACCTGCTGGGCGCGCTGGCTCTTCTGGGAGGCGGCCTTCAGCTTGCCCCTGGGCTCCAGCCCCTCCGGCTCGTCCGGGCAGCGCCGCGGCCGCTCCTCGTAGGCCTGGCCGGCGGCCAGCTCCCTCCCCTCGAAGCTGCGGTGCAGCTTCTGGAGCTCGCCCTCCCTCTCCAGCAGCTTCTGCTCCAGCTCCTGGATGGTGCACTGGTCCGTGGAGAGGGGGGAGCGGACGCAGGCGGGGCCCTTGTCCGCCTTGCTGGGGTGGGCCAGCTTGCTCCCCCCGTCGGAGAAAGACAGGGCCTTGAGGCTCACCATGTTGCTGTCCTGGAGGATGAGGCCCTGGGTGATGTTGTGAGCCGAGCCCCCGAAGCGGCTGGCGGGCCCCACGGGGGTGACCAGCGGGTCCAGCTGGTAGCTGCTGCTGGTGCTGTGCGTGGGCAGGCTGGACATGGAGTTCCGGCCGGAGTCGGACAGCGCCCCGGAGCACAGGCCGGGCTTCAGCTCCTGCTCCTTGGGCTTGTCCGGGGGCGCAGGGTGCAGCTGGTGGCTGGCGCTCTCGGGGGACGAGTGGAGGATGGCTCCGGACCGCGGCAGCACCGGCTTGAACGCTGTGGGCCTCACTGCCCCCTTCTCTGAGCCCTGGGGAGGAAAACCGCCATATGGACCCCATTGTCTCCCCCAACATGGCCCCGGTCGGGTGTATGTGCCCACCACGTGGCACTTTCCTGGTCAGGGGCCACCGCAACCTCCCCTGTTTGCTCTGAAGGAGCGGAAGGTGGTGAATCTCTCTCTGAGCCTGGAGATCTCTAAGAATCACAGGGCATCTTTGTTTTTGAACCACTAGCCTGTCACCAGCTTGTCCCGAGATGATATACAGCCCTTTGAGGTTCTCTGGCTAAGAGCCACCCCCCCACCCCCAGGTGCCAGGGTTCTGGTCTGGGGCTCCGTGGGATGCAGTTAAGGACGCTGGATGTGCTGTCCTTTTTTCACCTTCGCTGCCCCTTCTAGTGGTCCGGGGGCAAGAATGCTGACCGTGGCCTCCTCAAAGGGCTGGAGGGGTCGCTTGAAATAACAGTTGTCATTTTCATTGGTAGAAGGCTTCACAGTTTACAAGCCCTTTACTTTGAAAAGCCTAGAGCCCTGCACAGACATATGGGGCCATTTCCTGAGCTTATCAGCTCCACGGAGTCCTCCCCCGAGGTGGGGCCAGGGCACTGAATAGGAGCAATGTTTTCAGTGGTTGCTGGTGGGACCCACGGGAGTTTGAGCTGCCAGCAGGGATTTCTGAGTACACAGGACCCTTTGTCCCCATCCCTGTAGGCTGATGATGGTACCAAACTCAGTCCTTACCCAGCCAAAGAGACTTCGGGGCCAGCTTGAGCAGGAGCTGCTGCCCCACCAGAGCAGCAGAGGGGGGGAAAGGCCACCTCCGTGAGTCCACAAGTGGGACCAGCAGGCAGCGCTCCACCCGCTCCTCCAGGCAGTGACTGAGTCCCCGTCCCTCCCACGTTCTTGGGGATGCTGTCGGCCCTGCCTTGGTAATTCCAGTGGAGCTCAGAAAAGCTTTCACATCTGCTTTGATCTTTGCTAAGGGCTCACCCGGGACTTCTGCACCTGAGGACTGACCCACACGCCCATTTCCTCGACCAACCTCTGCTCTCTGCTGTGGCTGAGAATTCCTGCTCTCACCACATCTCCCTGCCTCGTGGAGATGGCAGCGTTTAAACCCCCACCACCCCCGCTCCAGCCCGGGTGCTGCCTCCTGCCTTTCCCATCCACCCAGCCCCACCAGAGACCCCGCTTACCACTTCTAGCTGATTGGAGAAGGGCATGAGCTTTGGGGGGGTGGACGGGTCGAAGTCCACCCCGGCCTGGCCCCCTACGTCCGCACTGGACAGTGCAGTGTAATCAGGGCGGTGGGAGCCCCGCGCCTTCTGGCTGACCTTGATGTAGAAGAAGTCTTCGCTCTTGCCCATCTTGGAACTGGACTTGCCATGACCCGAGTCCTGGGAGAAGCCAAACCTCAGGAGCCCGTCTGAATACCGATTGAGTTTCTTGAGATGGGAAGACTTCCGCAGCTTGTACTGTGAGGCCCGGCAGTGCTTGCCGTGGAAGCCGTGGCCAGAGATAAGGCTACTGACGCTGCCCATGGTGACACGGGGCCGGGGACAGGCAGGGCGGCGTGGGGACCCGGAGAGGCTGTGGCGGCAAGGGGCAGTCCTGGCTCCGCGAGGAGACTGTGGTCATAGCAGAAGCCTCATGGAGCCCGGGAGAGCCTCGACCTGGAAGAGACACAAGCAGAAGTCGGGCTGGGACGGTCCCTGCCGGTGACCTAGAGGAGGCATTCCGACCGCTAGGTCCGGGCAGCAGAGACGTGCACATCTCTCTTCACAGGAGCTCAGCCCTGCTCTGTGACCGGGCTCCACACTCATTCTCCCTTTGTGTGCAGTTCAGCACACACTCACGGGGAGCCTTCGTCTTCGGAAAGGCGCTCTTCCCAGCACTGGGATGCAGGGCTGCATTCCCCGTGCTCAACAGGGCTCGTGTTCCGTGTAGTGTGGACAAGCTAAAAACAGATCCATGTGTCCGACCTCAAGGGATCTATGTGCTATGGCGGGGGGAAATAAAGCAGAGAGAGTCGGATGCAGTTCTGGGAGGTGGTTATTTTCTGCAGGGAGTCCAAGGGAGGCCTCTCTTTGGGTATCACAGGAAGAGAACTTCAGAACATGAGGGAGCAAGCCGCGTGGAAACCCGGGGGCAGAGGGAAGATGCTCAGAAGCAGGCCCAAGTGCAAAGCCCCGAGTCCCCGCGTGGAGGGTGCTTGGCGTATATGAGACCAGCAAGAAGACGGGTCTGGCTGGAGGGGAGTTAGCAATGGGGGCCACGGGGGATGGAGAAGTCAGAATTTTGGCTTTTAGTCTGATTGAGGTAAGAAGCCCCCAGATGGCTTTAAGCTGCTGACAGCGTGAGCTGCCTTACGCTGGGGAGGGTCACCCTGGGCTGCTGGTGGAAAAGGGGCAGCTGAATGGCCTAAGTAGAAGTGGTGGTCCAGTGACCGCGGGGGAGTGACATGGCTGGGCCAAGGTGGGAGCTATGGATTCCATTTTAAGATGTAATTTTAAGGTCGAGCGGGTAGGATTGGTTAAAGGACTGGACGCAGGGAGTGAAAGAGGAGTCCAGGATGACCCCAGTGCTTTCAGCCATGCAACTAGAAGTAAGTTGCCATTTACTGAGATGCAAAAGACCACAGCGGGAGTCGGCGTGGGATGAGGTGGGGGTGGGAGATAGGAGTCTGAGTTGGGACGCTCGGTTTGCAAAGCCCATTAGACATCGGTGGAGCGGTGGCGAGTAGGCAGCAGGATGGGTGCGGAGCGGTGGGAGCGGCAGATTTCCGCATATAAGCTGCCTGTGCATAGAAGCCAGCTCTGAGACCAGGTGAAAGCAAGGGCAGGAAGACAAGAGAAGCGTGGGGACTGGTTCTCAGAGGTCAGGAAGGTGAGGAGAGTGAGGAACAGACACTGAGACGGCTCCAGCAGGTGCAGGAGACCCACGCAAGGCGAGGATGAGGATGGTGGCCTTGAGTGCCGGTGAAGGAAGATGGCTGCTGGGAACCGGTCAGTGGATTAGGCCATGTGGAGGCTCCCGTGATCTTGACAAGAGCAGTTTTGGTGGGGTGATGGGAAGAAAGGCCTGACTGAAGAGGGTTCATGAGGAAAAGGGGAGAGAAACAACTGTACCCTTGTACTGGATTCCCAGTTACGCTCCCCCCACTAGCTATGACGTGCGAGGCAAACTCTTTAGCATCTTGAACCTTCAGTTCCACATACGAGTTCTAAGACATACTTTAAAATGTTTTTTAAAGTGATAGGAATGCCTCTTGTAATCAGTGCTGAAAACGACCTTGCCAATCAGCAGACAGAGGAACGCCCTGGGCGGGTCACACGATTCTTCAGAGCTAGGAAAGGCTGTGTGGGCGTCATGCATGGTGAGGGGTCTTTTTCAGGCATTCGAAGAATGATAGATGATCCAGTTAAGGGGGGGGGAGGACTACAAGTTTAATAAAACAGGAAATGCAGAAGGAGTCCTGCCTTCTTTACTCTGCCCTGAGTCACCCTGTCAATCCCAGAGGGGTGCAAGACGTCCCAGGTGGGTGACGAGGGCGTTCGGACCTGGCTGAGGGAGCCAGAAGACTCTGCAGACTGATTGTGAAGGCTTAGATTCAACCGTGCACTGTCATCTTGAGGAATAAGGTGGTTACGTTACGAATAGATACATTCTGTATTCTGATCGTAAAAGCACAGCACAACGAAACATCACTGTGCAAGCACAACGCATGCGTTTTGACGCAAAGCTTTTATTAAATGGACGGCCTCTTAGGATCGGGGAAACACAGTGATGCCTCGCAGGGGTCGTTACGAGCCGTTTGCCGGGTACCACCGTAAGAGAATAGGTCGGTGCATTTACTGAAAGCCTCGTACACAGTGGGCACTCAATAAATGGGAGGTGTTTTCTGCGGTTTCTGTGGTTATTCTTACCCTCCTTGCTCTCTCCAGCATTCATCATCCCTGCCCAACTTTCAGGGGTCACATCTCATTTTCCAGAACTAACTCTCTCCCTTCCAAACGCGACGTCTCGGCGCCCCATCCCCAACAGCATGACTTACAAGCATGGAGTTTCTGCTCATCCAACAGCTGACAATGACAGAATGTGTTTTTCAGGCCCCAGGCCCTCCATCTCTTGCTTAACTGAGGCCTCCAGTTCCCATGAGGCAAATACTCCACTGCTGCCCCCTTGGAGGGAAGCTCGTTTGGGCCAAAAGACTCTCCTGCTCCCTGCACGTTCTGTACCAACTGGGCAACCGGCGACTGGCCTTCTCCCCGTCCAGTGACACAGCTGTGGGCATGTACACGGGCAGTGTGGCTAAGACAAGACCGCTGGCTCTAGAATCAGACAGATTTCAATTTGAAAATTAACCTCTGAGGTTTCTCTGCTTGCAAGATGGAAATCAGAGCAAGTTCACCGGACGGGGGTGAGGATGAAGTGGACGCACAGAAGCCAAGTGCACTGCTTGGCCCATGGCAGGTGCTGTCCAGGGGAGGGCGAGGTCCACAGACGGCCAAGACCAGGGTGTTTTTAAGAAGCATATGACAGCTGGAGCAGAACCAGAACACCGGGCAGACTTTGAATTAATCTGTTTGCAGCTCTCTGGCTGCATTGCTCTCTCCTCTCACTGGGACCTTGAGACGGATCCAAATAAGTCTTTGCTCAATCTGTTCGTCTTAAGCATCCAGGGGGGTCACGGCATCACGCCCCCTGGTGAAAGCTTTCCGAAGCTCCCCGACCAGTGCTTGGAGTAGAGCAGATGCCCCCCTAAGCCTTGTAGGCGCCGGCAGGCCCTGGTTTTGCCCACCGCTCCAGTCGCACCACTGCAATGACAGCCCCACTCATTTCTTCCTGTCGCTTGAAGGCACCAAGCCTTCTCCCACCCAGCCAGGCGCCTTCCCGCCAGCCGCCGCCTCCACCGCCAGATTCTTCCTCCGCACGCAGATTCCCCTTTCTCATCCCTTAGTTTTCAGTTCAAATCTCACCTTCGCCAGGGACCTTCTCTGCCTATCCTTGGGAAAAAACCCATGTCCCCCATTTCTGTTGGCCCCACCTGTTTATTTCCTTCCTGACACTTGCTTTACCCTTTAATGATCTTATTTTTCAACGTGCTTATTGTATCTCTCCCCCAGAATCTCAGCTCTAGAGGCTTCTGTCTAGGAGCAAAACTCCTAGAACAAAAAGGAGGAAAATGAGGCAACAACTCAGAGGTCAGAAGACTTGGCCCTTGTCATTCAGTTGGCCAGTGACCGAGGTGGGATTTGAACCCAGACTCAGATTCCGTTGTCTCGCTGGGAGAGCAGACTGCTGGGGACTGTAGGTGAGGCTCAGAGATGGGCGGGGTCCTGTCCTGGATAGCCAGGTCGGTCCCCAGGGCTGGCAGAGAGAAAGCCTGGCGGAGGGTGGGGGATGGTCGGGGTAACTTTCCGTGGCCTCCAGCCGTAGCATCATTTCCCTCTTGGGCAGAGACAACAAGGCTTTGGGTACAGGTGAGCTCCTCCATTCATCCGAGCGACAGCTGGATGATGTGCGAAGCCCAAGCACTGTGCTGGGCCCTAGGGGACCGAGAGGAAGGAGGCCAGTGATGCTGGGAGCCAGGGCGAGGAACAGGTGATGGATGCTGGCTCTGATCCTCTGAGTGCATTCCTGTCCCTTAGCCCCGAGCCCCACTCTCCACTCCCCACGTCTCAACACACAGAGGCACTTTGAAGTCTGAGATTATCCCCAGATCCACTTGAAGCCAAACTAATTACCTTTAAGTGTCTAGACTTGTTCGGTTTTCAACTTGGAGAGCGCATCACAGAAAACCTGGCTGTGATGCATCCGCGCTCCCAGACCCTAGGCCTTCCTGCCCGCCCCCGCCAGCCTTGCTGTCTCTGCCCTCAGGAGGTACAGGGGAAGGGCTCGTTGTCACTCCCAGGAAACAAACCCCACTGGCCAGGAGTACATCCAAAGGGAGCTGCCACACAGATCTCGGCGATCCAAGAAGGGGAAAGGAAGAGGCGAGAAGGACCAGAGGGGGAAAAGCAAAGGAGGCAGAGCGCCTCATGCTGGGCACATCGCCGTGACCTTCTGAGTGACCTCCACCGATGCTACAGAAGAAATCCAGCGAGTCAGACTGCAAATCTTGAGAAGAGAGGAAAAGAGAAAAACAGCCCAAAACAGAAAAGAACCCCTCTACCGTATACTTCTCAGAATCTGGCCCCAGGGGAGTCAGGAGATGCCCCCGGAACCAGTGTCACCTGCCCCCTTTCCCCACGTGACCTCCCCCCACGTGGGGGCCGCTGCCCCGGACAGGCCAGGGCCACAGAATCCTGGGGACGCCCCGGGTTCTGAGCTGCTGCTACCCCCACGGCAGCTGCCCCTCCCCGTCCACTCTGCCCCCTCCTTCCCAGCGCGAACCAGGGCTCACACCAGGGTGACACATCCCTCCGACAGCTCTTTCTGGAATAGGGAGGTAGAGGCAGGGAGTTGAAAAGGGATCCGTCTCAGGAAGGGGAGAAATAATGCTACACACCCTCCCATCGCACACCATGGGAAGAAGTGGCTATGGCCTTGCCCACAGCAAACTCAGACTTCGGGGCTGGGGAGGAGGAGGATCCACAGGCGCCCACCTTGTGTCCCCACTGCCAGCCTGGGGAGGTCACCCACAAGGTTGGGATGCTCAGCCTCCAGC